CGGGCCCCTGAATGCTTATCTGACCGCTTGCGGGGTTAGACAAGGTATCAAAATGTGTTTATCTGACCGCAGACGCGTAGCCAGGGGGGGGGGGGGGGGGAGGGGGGGAGGGGGGGGCGGTCCCCCCAAATCGGAAGAGGACGTAGGAAGAAAAAGGAGCAGACAAAGAACATCTTTGAAATTCAGACAAGGATTAACAGTATAGAGAACGGTACAACGCATCGGCTTCTTTCTCTAATAATTTAATGAAACGTCACAGCGTCGCGCAGGAGGGGAGGGGGGGGGGGACTGAATTCAGACAAGGATTAAAAATCGAGAACGGTACAACGAATCATCTTCTTTCTCTCATAATCTTATGAAACGCCAAAGCTTCCGCGCTTCGCGCGGGAGGGGGGAACCTGAATTCAGACGAGGATTCAGAGGCGAGAACGGTAATACGAATCTTAAATGGCTTAATGAAACGTAAAAGCTTCCGCGCTTCGCGCGGGATGGAGGGGGAACTAAATTCCGATGAGGATTATTTTCGAGAACGGTACAACGAATCGTCTTCTTTCTCTAATGATTTAATGAAAATTAAAAGCTTCCGCGCTTCGCGCGAGAGGGGGGAACCTGAATCTAGACGAGGATTAAGAGTCGAGAACTGAACAATGAATCGTCTTCTTTCTTTAATAGTTTAATGAAGCGTCAAAGCTTCCGCGCTTCGCGCAAGAGGGGGAGGGGAAGACTGAATTAAGACAAGGATTAAGAGTCGAGAACGGTACAACGAATCGTCTTCTTTCTCTAATGATTTAATGAATCGTAAAAGCTTCCACGCTTCGCGCAGAAGGGGGAAAACTGAATTCAGACGAGGATTAAGAGTCGAGAACTGTACAGGGAACTGGAGGGGGAACTAAATTCCGATGAGGATTATTTTCGAGAACGGTACAACGAATCGTCTTCTTTCTCTAATGATTTAATGAAACTTAAAAGCTTCCGCGCTTCGCGCGGGAGGAGGGGGGAGGGAGAATCTAAATTCAGATGAGGATTATTTTCGAAAACGGTACAACGAATCGTCTTCTTTCTCTAATGATTTAAGGAAATTTAAAAGCTTCCGCGCTTCGCGCGGGAGGGGGGGGGGGAGGGGAAACCCAAATTCAGACGAGGATTAAGAGGCGAGAACGGTAATACGAATCTTTAATGGCTTAATGAAACGTAAAAGCTTCCGCGCTTCGCGCAAGAGGGGGAGGGGGGAGACTAAATTCCGATGAGAATTATTTTCGAGAACGGTACAACGAATCGTCTTCTTTCTCTAATGATTTAAGGAAATTTAAAAGCTTCCGCGCTTTGCGCGGGAAGGGGGGGGGGGGAACCTAAATTTAGACGAGGATTAAGAGGCGAGAACGGTAATACGAATCTTTAATGGCTTAATGAAACGTAAAAGCTTCGCGCAAGAGGGGGAGGGGGGAGACTGAATTTAGACAAGGATTAAAAGTCGAGAACGGTACAACGAATCGTCTTCTTTCTCTAATGATTAAATGAATCGTAAAAGCTTCCACGCTTCACGAGGAAGGGGGAAAACTGAATTCAGACGAGGATTAAGAGTCGAGAACTCGACAACGAATCGTCTTCTTTCTCTAATAGTTTAATAAATCGTAAATTTTTTCCGCGCTCCGCGCGGGAGGGGAAAAATTAAATTCAGACGAGAATTATTTTCGAGAATGGTACAACGAATCGTCTTCTTTCTCTAATAATTTGATAAAACGTCAAAGCTTCCGCGTTTCGCGGAGGAGGGAGGGGGGGGGAAATCGCCCCTCCCTGCACCGACCCCCCCCCGCATTACGTCACTGTTGGTCACTATTACGTACCAATATTTGGCTCGCATAATTTCAAATTTGGGCCCCCCCCCCTAAGAAATCCTGGATCCGCGCCTGCCTTATTCAATACTTGACTGTGCCTAGCGGGGCAAGGGAAGGTACATGTATAACTTGTTGCTAAGCTGCAACGTCATCCCAACCAAAACAAAGAAAACAAATATCACAATTTAATATTTATATGCCGAAAGATTGCACGATCTATCAGCGTCAAGTAGTTAATTCGAACCTTCCATTATTTCATGGAGGCCCATAATAAACCAAATAGACCTTTTCATCAAATGTCATTCAAACTTTATGAAACTTGTTGAAAAACATACTTCATCGTTACGAATACATTGAATAAAATCTCTCTGCCTCGTTAACGTTGTAATTGAAGAGAATGTATTTCTTTAAAATTGACCGCGTTTTGTAATACTGTAGCAATACCGCGTACACCAGCTGTGACTTTTTTCTCTATCTCTTCTTCTTTCAGTATTTTATCTTCAAGATTAGGGCTTTGTGCATATAAGGTCTATGGACTTTAATTTCTGCTCATACAGGGAAGGGTTTGGGTATGGGAAGAAAATGCTACAATCCTGGGACCCGTTTCACAAAGCCTTTTTCAATGCAAAAGGACAAAATTCAGTGACAAATCTGCTGATAACCAATCAGAAGCAAGGATTTTACAAGCTTATTACAAAAATTATCATTGAATTGTCATTGATGACAAGTTTGTGAAATGGGGCACTGATTGCAAAAAATAATGATGCAGCCAAGCTTGATATCGCTATTTCAAGTCATTGTATACAGTCAATTTCTGTTCTCGTTTAAAATACTAAGATAGATGATAATCTTTAAGTGAAATTCTGTCGCTCCAATTATCTTTCCTTTTGAATATGAAACATCCCTTGAAATTTATTCGAAACATTAAGTTCTAGCCCACTCGAATGTTAGAGTGTTTTCTCAAGAAGGATACGAGTGTAGAGATCGATGTATTATCCAGCGATCCATACCATACTGTTTGACTCTCTACACCCAGTGACAATTCATAAAACGAATCACCTACTGACATTTCTCTTTCAAATCCTGTTGAACTTTAGAATGGGATTGCATCAAGTAAACAGTGTAAAGGGTATATGTAGCATCCAATGCAAATCACTTGATTGAGATGTATGCTTGCCCTGGCCTGTAACCTGGTTCATCAATCTGCTCGTTCGCCGACATATACAGTACAACAGCATAGTTGTGTAGCAGGAACGGCAAAGAAAATCGAAATATCTTGTGTTAATTTATGTTATGTGTCCTAGCTATTTCTCATTTGCAGTAAAATATACCTTAGTTTAGTGTGGAGTATTTAATGTTGAAGGTTCCCCCTCACTTCTTAACAACAAATTCACGAAATTCATCTCACTCTAAAAAAAAGTTCAATGATTGTCGGTAATTTGGGATATTTGTTCAATCTATTACTACATGTATTGCAGTAAATGCATAATTCCAATCTTTATTTATTCTTAATAAATGTTTTCACTTAAGAAGATCAATGCAGTCTCCTTCTGTCCAAAATGACAATGTTTAATTGTTAGGGTATGTTTTCTGACGAAAGTGTTAGAACATGGCTATCATTTTTGCTAATGAGTATGTCAAGTAATCGTAAATCTCCGTCTTGACAGCAGAATAATAGATCAATGTATGTTGAGTTTTCTTTTTTCTTCTTCAGAAGAGCGATATGCTGGCGTGTTTTTTTTTCTAGTGAGCTTTTCGTCTTGCCACTTTCTTTGCAAATGGCGCAATGATACATTTCTACAAGAAAAATGTGTTACCTCTGTAATTCCTTCATCTGCTTAAAATGCTTGTTTTAAGTCCTTCGCGGTAGATCGAGGCTCTCCATGTGATCCAATTGCCCCAGTTTTTAGTCAGGGTGCTAAATGTTACCACAACACACAAAGCGATAGTGATCGATGCCGTTTGAAGACATGTACTTATGTACGTCCGTTGTATGCTCATCAAAGATTAGATTTTAAACCCTCGTTCATACACGACGTGGTAAACCGGTACAAGAGACCGCCGCGGCAAAATAGAAATACATGTATTTGTACATGAAAAGGGACGGCAAGTGAGGTGAAAAAGTCTATGTGAGCAACAAAGGTCCATTCCCACTTAACAGTTCTTTAAGTTATGAGGTATGGAGATGTGACACGTATTTCTTCTTCTTCTTCTTTTCCTTTTGATTCTTCTTCTTCTTTACCTTCTTCTCTTTTTTGTTCAATTTTGTCTTTATGGTGTATTACGGCTATTATGTGTGAAGGAAACTGAACGTGGCGTCTTGTCTCTCTCTCATAGATCGGAATGGCCCAACGAACAGTGTAATTCCCTCCTACGCCTCCCTCTTCCTCTTCATCTTGTATTGCTTTCTGGAGAGCTCAGAGAATTGTCTAGTGGTCTTTGAAATGATTTTTCAACGCTTAAACATTTACTTCTCTGTAGCAATTTCAATATACCACACTAAATAACATGTAATATGTAAAATACATGACAAGTATTGCTCAACATGTGTATAAGTTCGTGTGTTTGGTTTTTGTCAACTTGACGTCCATGTGCTCATGACGAATTCGATATAAACTTTTTCTTGGCTTTATCGTCTCTTTCAGAGATCACGAGTAGATTAAGAGACTATATATTTGAAGAAATAATGGTATCTTGTGAAATAAATGTTTCTTCATCAATGACTCTAAAACAATTGGAATATTTACTTTGTACTGTCGTACAGAGTTCCCTGGGAACGTTTAGCATCCTCGAGCAAGGCAGTGTTCAGTGTAAACCATAGATAATTGGATATTTTACTAAAACAGAATATTGTAGTTATATTTTTTCAAGCATGGAGTCAACTGAAACTGAGATATACATGTATGAAATGTGTATATATTGTATTGGTGTGTCAACATAATAATGACATATCCTAGACCAACACACTATAATGATCTCTATGAATCATTTCACAAAGACCCTATAACAAGCTCATTTATCCTACAGTTACGGGTATCTTCTTTTTTTTTAAATTAAGAAGAAAAGAATTGAAATAGTTTTACAGTAATAAATACAACTTATCAGCGACCAGTTGCTATTTACTTCTCTTTCAAGTGAATACTATTATGTTAATTTGTATTTCAGAGTCGTGAGAGACGAAAGAAACTGGAACGTGGTGCCTCTTTCTCATCGAGTGACGGTGAAAGGGTTCGTCCGCCATTGCATCGCGGTCTTAGTGAGCAGTTATCAGCTCCAATAACTTCATTACAGAACCAACCTCTTACTGAGGTCTCGTCTTCCAATAGTAGCTTGGACCGAAGTCAACAACAGTCACCAGATTCTAGCTCACGTAAGAAATATCCATATAGGGATCTATCGTAACATCTCTACTGTAAGAATGTACTGATAAAGTTGTACAGGTTTCGATCCGTATATGTAATGAACATGTACTACGTGAACCGTTTAAAGAGGGGCATGGAGCCATTTGCCTCCCTCAATATCCCTAATTAATCTTAAAGACCCTATCCGATCAAAATACAACCTGATATAAATGGAAAACTGAATGAATGTAGAATACAAATGCAAAGGAATGAAAAGCATTTACCCTTTCATTATTGTACAAAAGCAAATTAAAACCTCATTTCTGCATCCCTCCAAATTACGGTTCAACAGGGGTCAACTTTGCCGAAGTTACAGTGACGACATAACTTGTGGACCTCATCGGTTCACCTATGTAGCTGAGGCGATGAGCCGTGCTTAATCAGTGCAACGTCATTGTGAATATGCGTACTAAACATAAGATAATGTCATCAAGTCGATAGCTTTCAAGTTTTAGGTCGACAACTTCCGATTTTCAAAGCTTTAGATTTAGAGTTTTCAGAGAGCTGATACTCTGACAAACACTAGAATGGCTTATATAATAGATGATATTGTAATCTATGGCTCATAAGCTTTCCGTTGGTATAAAATTCATCCATTTATTTTTTCAGTTCGGATATGGTGTTTAACTTTAAGATATAAGCTGTCAAGAAACAGCAAAATGAAAATAATGAAAACCAGAAAGCAAAAAACAGAACCACTGCCTTTGTAAGATTACATATCGCACTTCTTCACCTCTAGAATCTGATAGATCTACCCTGTGTTATCACATTACTCTTCGACATAACGATGGTAGGATTTTATTCGTTAGGAAGTTGCCATTTAGCACGTACAATTAAAGCGCTTCGTATGTATGTTTTTTTAATAATTATAATGTCTTTCGTTGAGGTTTGAAATAATATTTCTGAATTCTATACATTCTTATTTTTGAAAAGTAAACATAATTTCTATGTTTCAAATAAAACAAACAACCGGCACTCATAAAAATGGAAATTTCTAAAACAACAATTCAGTAATCCATGAACAAGGAATACACTCTGATGAAAGGAGTTCTGTATAATTGTCACGTTTTGTAAAACATAACACTTTCTATGTGGAGAATATTTTAAGACAATTTACTTCAAAATACAATTCTACTAAATATTACTCATCAAATAATACTTTTAAAAAAAAGAAACATAATACAACAGTTATAGTCCATTTCTCTTCATCTAACTTGGTAAAAATAATCCTCGTTTTTCTATGAAAGGCATATCCTGCAGTATGAAACAACATAAAAATTATAGGTCGTTAGTTCATTTTTTCTTAAAGTTGAGAAATGATATTCAATTCGACTATCTTACTTTGTATCCCATCTCAGCTACCAAGTCGAATAAAGGTAATGGTATACGATCATCGTCTTCTTCATTTGAATCGGATCGATCATCGATACAAAAAGGTGAGAAGCAGAAATATTTGTCATCTGGTAGAAACCCGTTACGATTCAACATTGTTAGAAGTTTCGATTTGTAATTAGAGAATCAAAAACAGATTTATTTGTAGTGATTTCCAAGTGATTTCCAACCGAAATCCATTCATTTTCCTTGAAAAGTTCATGTCCATGTATTTGCTAGAAATGTGGATTTAGAAAAGATAGTTTATTCTTATCAAGCATAAACCATACATAATTAGTGCATTGTTAATTCAAAAATTTCCATTACGCAGCCTATAGAATATAACAGTTTATGGTTAAAGGTTCTTAATTCACCTTATTATTTATTTCAGTTTTAATTTAATTCCTATTTCGCATACTTGCAGATTCCCAATCATCACAAAGCCAAAGAAACGGAACCCGGTCCTCACCTTCATCAGCCGAATCGTCACATTCCTCCCCTAGTCGTAGTGCTCATTCTATGGTAGTCAGTCAACCAACGGACGGGTTCCAGGTACACGGGAAGAACGGAGAGCCTCACAACCCTCGCCTTCCAGATAACCCAACCAAACCTAGACCAAGAGACTCACCGTCATCGAAAGTTTCTCGACAATACGATGGAAATAAGACAGATGTTTTGCGAGATTCGCCTTCTTTGAGGAAACCAGATAGAAACAATTCACCGGGATTGCTTGAACATGATAAAGACCCGGTGATTTCTCATAAATCTCGTACCTTGGATTCGTCAAGGAAGGAAAAAACTCAGTCTCCAGACAGAACTAGCCATCAAGGGGCATCAGGGCATGAAAGGAACAATGCTCAAAACCCACGCATAAGGGACAGGTCTCCAGTAGTGGAAGGGTCAAAGCAGAATTCCCCACAACAACCTCGTAGTTTGGACATTTCTCCAGTATTTAGAGACGTTCCAAGGAAATTCGGGTCTGTGAAACAACCTGAACACGATCTAGTGCACGAATCAATACATTCACAGACAGCTTCGAATGTTGTTTCTAGAAGAACTGATATTCTCACGCGTGATGAAAATGTAGGATTTGTACCCGTCGCAACAGTGAGTGAGAACCCGAGTAGGACTAGACTTAGACAAAATTCACCTGATTCAAAACCAAGACTTCGACAAAATTCACCTGATTCAAAACCCAGGCCTAGTCGAATTGATGTTGCCATGAGTAAAGAAGAAGTCAAAGTGAGGGGACGTGATAGTGAAAAACAATCTCCTCCAGTCACGCAAAGCGTTGCCCCTTCTAGTGATAAACCCAAGGAAAAGCCTTATATTTCATCTCATGATGAGAGAGAGGGTAGTATAGATGATAGTGAAATGATGCGTCAACTATTAGCCATGGCTGGTAGTAATACCTCATGTGAAACAAAGGAGAAAACCAAAGAAAAGGAAGGTGCAATTGACAAATTAGACAAAACGCAGATTGGATCGAGAGATAGTGAACGAACTCACGTTGGAGAAGACCTGTCTGGCAAGAATCCCAGGCCTATTTTCACTTTGACCGCTGACAGAGGTAGTCCTATATCAACGTTTGTTCTATCGTCATCAAAAGAGAGTCTAGCCTCTAACGCGGATAAGGATGAATGTCAATCTTCTATGCAGACTCATTTACCAAGCACTGTTTCTAATGTGACGGTAAAACCTGACGTCTCCATGTATAACCCACATCATATAGACGCAGACACCATGGCTGAGGAAGAAACACGACTTGCAGAGGAAAAATCAATGGGAGAAGCAGTTTCTAAAATGTTGAGATTAAAGCGAGGAAAGTCTGAGGAGTTACCCCCTAGACAGGGTTCCCTTGACGACAGTCACTATAAGCTCATTAAAAGACAGGAAACTGTGCCATCGGAGTACGAAAGTCTCAGTGATAGTGAAATTAGGGATGATCAAAGTAGAAGAGGTAGGAAAACACTCCTTGGGGATAGACCAAAGCAGAATTCGGAAGACTTGTCAGATCTACCAGGACTTACAGATCTAGGGGCAATAGGAGGTGGTGATGATGATTCAATATGGCCTCCAAATACAGATGGAGCTGAGTCAAAATACATCTCAGTTGAAGATCTCACAAAAGTTGGATTGGGAGGGAGAATGGCTGCAGTCGGACAAAAACACTCGAGTAATGGCATACGACGAAAGCGTCAAAAGCCTGCCGGAGATACGCCACTGTCACCAATATTCGATGTAGAAGGAGGAAGTCCACCGACTGAACTGGCTACTGATCTGTTGTCTTCTGAATGCACTTCTCTTGCAGATGACTCGGAGGATGACATCAATCGTGACTACTATGAGGACCAAGATTACATGACAGAAGATCGGTCGTACTCCAGTTTTGACAGCGGCGATGACTACACTGACTACATGGAAGACGTCATCATGGAGGACATCAGTATGGAACATGAAGTAGTGGAACATCTTTCGCCTTACCGAATAAAAGAAGAGGGTTTAGCAACCGTAATGGAAGAGCAAGAGGAAATAGATGAATATTATTTGGATGAAGAGGATGAAGACGAGGAGGAGGAAGCTGAAGAATCAGAAGAAGAAACCATACCCGAACAAGACCGTATGAACATGCTATCTACTATCCAGGAACAGACCTCAGAAGAAACCCAGGAGAGCCCTGAGTATATGTCACCGTGTGAAGATAGGTTTAGTACAGGTCGAAGCTCTGAACAAAGATCGCGTAAGGATCAACCATCATGGGATGCATCTGCATCAGCATCCGCATCAGATTTATCAGATTTGTCAACTGATCAGACTTTTGAATCTTTGTCTTCCGTTTTAACACGTGAACACATCGCACCAGTAGCAGCCACTGTAGAAAAAGACATGGTAGCACAGTCTCCATACCGTCCTCAGCTAGACATTGACCTTACGCCAAACGCCAAGCGCGACAACTCTGGCGTTTTAGATTCACCAAGAACACCAACAATGGATTCCAAAGCTTATGAACGACCCAGAATTACAAGTCCTAGTAAAATATTTAATGTATCCTCCCCTCGCACTAGTCCCATTTCTCCCAACCCTTTCTCGCCTCCCCTAACTCCCAAATCATGGGCTGCAAAGCGCACATTTCCAGAAACCATGTTTCCAATGGAACACTCCACACAAGTAGAATCAGAGGTGGAAACTCATGCTCCGAACGATGATCGAAGAAAATGTCGCTCGGTTCTGACTCAAATGGGATCTAGTTTCGAGGAATTTGCTAGCATTACGTGGCCTGAAACACTAACTGAAGACCCCTCTTCATCCCGTAGTAAATCCTTTAAAATTCCTTTATTCGTTGAAACAGGTAGCACAATTAGTCCTGAGGATAGCACAAGCACATCAGAGAACACAGTTATAGCATGTGATAATTTGAAATCTAAGTCAGCTCAGACGCAAACTATGGTTGAACGTCGAACGCAAACGACACCACCTCCACTCCGCGAGCAAACCAAGCCTCGTTCAAAATCATTCTCCGACGCAGCTGTGGGGCCTGGTAACGAAAGCCCAGAATCCAACTCTTCTTCCCCTTCTAAGTCTGTCCATACAACTAGCATTGGCGTAGGTACAAGCCCTGAGATGTCACCCACCTCCTCCACTCATTCTACAGACACTGATTTCAGCTTCAGAAGACCGTTTGCGTTTGAGGAAATCAAGCACACCATGGCATCCAATGCATCATCCAGCGGATCTTCCAGTCCAGAACCTAGTGGAGCAGCTAGGAGAAACCCGAGAGCATCAAGGAAAGATACAGGATCACAAAGTACTACTCAGGACACGATTGCTGCCATGAAACACAGCGGACAGTTTTCGGGAAAGGACTATCTAAAGGTAAGGATCAGCCCTCGAGACCGACAAAATCTCGCGGACTTTCTCATATTATTCTAGAAATCTTAATAACGTTTACATTCACACAATTTGTTATGTTTGCTTATGAACAGAAGAGCAGTTTCGCTTTGTTCATGGTAAAGATAAGCATACACCCTTTAACAAGATTTGAAGGAGAAGGACACGATTACGATGATTAATGAAAAACATACGTTTTTAAATGTTACCCTCAGTCATATATATACATATATATATTTTAAAAAAGCAATATTTAATATCCGCACCATTTAAGGCGTTTATCTTAATTAACATTTTGTTTGGTTCTTGTTCATCCTTGTTTCTCCTTGTGACAGGCATCTTCAAGTGATGCTGAAAGCTGTGATAGTGAGAGTAGCACACCAGCCAAAGTTCGTCGGCGTCTCCCTACAGTTCCGCTGAATGTCCAGCCAGTCACTGTCTCTATCAAACCTGACCTCAGTACAACCATTGATGAGATTCTACGAGATCCTGAAAGAAGTATCGAGGTCAAGAAAGTTAAAGAACTACTGGCTAGAAAGGCGGCAGAACTAGAGAAGGAGAGACGCGAAGCTCTTCTAAAATTGAGAAAACTTTCTTCAGATTCAAAAAGGCTTGAGGAAGGAAAGGAGAGGCTCTCTCGCAGGTATAACAAACACCACAAGGTTCGTGTAGCTGGGGTGAATGAAGGTAGCCTTTCCGATTCAGACGTCACCATTACAAGTGAAGACAAGGAAACAGAAGAATTGGCTGCTTTACTTCACCCACTATACGGCATGTATAACCCATTCCCGACGGGTAAACTCTCCATCAGTTCAGATCGTATTCACGAGATAGAAACAAGTGATCTGCCGTCTTCAATCATGGTGTCTCCTGGAGATCAAATAAGATTATCGAAATCTGAAGAGGACATTTTAAGAGAAATTGAAAAGCAGATCTCAGAAGCCACCGGTACGGACTATAAAGCATACAATACTTCTCAGATAGAAAATGAGGTTCGATCGAGGTACAGCGACAACAAAGATGACAACCGATTTAAGAAGGATAACAAACGTAGAACTCCATTGCAAGAAAAATTTACGACCTCAGAAATTCCTGATTATGGTTTAAAAACTGTTCGTCATAAGATGAAAGAGGAGCTGAAGCAGGTGACGGCCCATCGTAGAGCGCAATTAGATAATTCCCCACCATCTCCATCCCAGCCGCCCTCTGAAATCCAAACAAGTGTTGTCAGCCCAGAGAGGCAAGAAGGCGAGCAGAGGGAAGGAACAAACGGAAGTAAGTCATCATCGACTGTTAAGACAGGAAAGTCTGGTAGCGGACTACCTGTCCGAGGATCACAACAAGCTTCACCTCAGAGGAGGAAAGCACGATGGCAGCCAACGGACTCCGTCGCTCCTGCTTTCTCACCCATCAAGGAAGACGTGGACTCGGAATTTGACTTTCTACACCAGAATGTGTCTGATCGACGTGCAGGAGGCATGAGCGATAAAAGGTCGCTCTCCTATGACTCCTCATCGAAAACGAAAAGGGGGTCTTCTAACCACTCTCGGGGTAAAGAATCGTCCAATGCTACGTCGGTAAGTCATGAGATCAATTTATTTTATGAAACTGACAT